GGGATGTCTGCATGTGAATTAGAAAAGGCATTCACCCACTGGGGAAGAGAGAGTGGGGACTTCCAGATGCTTCCATGCTAGGAAACATGGTGGACCCCCGACCCTGGAAGGCCGTCTGCAGCCGAAGGCATCCATCACCCTCTCCTTCCCCTTGCAGACGTGGACAAATCACAACAGAAACCCCAAATCTGTAAAGGCTGCAGCATCTGCATCAACACCGAGGGCAGCTACACCTGCCAGTGCCCGCCTGGCTTGGAGCTCAACCCAGAGGGCCCGGAGCCGTGCAAAGGTAGAGGCCCCGGAAAGACTCTGAGGCTGGACTGGAGCTGGGAATGGAGCCAAGGCAGTTCCTGGAGCCCAGGGAGGAGGGAGAAGGAGACCCTCAGGTTCCTGCAATGCCAAGGCCCTGCCCAGGCCCTGCCCAAGGATTTGCCTCCCTGGAAGCTTCCGCTATAGGCCATGGAGATGGCAGAGCCTTCTGGGCCTGGGGTTCCCTTGTGGAGCCCTTGTCAGCACCCCCTAGACCTCAGCCCTTCCTCATCTGTCACATTTGAAAAGAGAAATCTGTCAATTCCTGTTCCTGGAAGGGGAACCTCAGTCCAGGGCCCAGGACGGGGCAGTCAAGAGTCCTTGGTCAGGAAATCCAGCCCCCTGACTCAGTTTCCTTCCTGGTTTTACCACCTGTAAACTGGGGACCCACACCCATCTTGCAGGGAGGTCACCATAAGGTGCTTGGAAGGTGAAGTTGAAGGTCACCAGGTGATGGCACATGCCGTCACAATGGGGTCCTTGGTGCCAGGCATGAGAATTGGGTACAGTGAGAAGTGGACGGGACGCCTGACCCTCTGGCTTTGTCCTCAGATGTGAATGAATGTACTTTGGGACCAAACCCATGCCACAACTCCACCCACTGCCTCAACTTCGTGGGCAGATATGAGTGCCGCTGCCGCCCCGGCTGGAAGCCGATTCCCGGGTCCCCCAACGGCCCAAACGACACCATCTGTGAAGGTTCAGAGCCCAGATTCTACACTCCTGGAGACCC